TCTCTCTCTCTCTCTGTTTCATTTGTAGCACTGTGTGTTTAGTAACCTCACTGAAGTTGGTACAAATGAATTTCTATATTTGTCTGTTCTTGCTTAAGGTGTCCTAAATGGCCAATTTGTTTTTGCATGCAAACTTCTTTTTATGTGATGCGGACATGTGCAGATCGCTTCCTTTAGCATTATTATTCTGGTTTCTTTTGTAGGGTTTTGAGCGGGCGTTTTAAAAAGATTTGACAGGATATTAACCTATCAGTATAACATGTTGTTTAAATTACTCATCTCCTCATCCATTTTGCATTTGCTTTTGTTCATATTGAACTTTCCAGACCGGCAGGTGTGCAGTAGTTAGACGCTCCGCCTTGCACAGCCCAGATTTGAGTTCGATTCCCGTATGGAAAGTTGTGTTGTTGTTTTTTCAAATTAAACCGAGTAATCTCTCTGGTCTTCTTGGACGTGGTATCCTTCTTGGCCCGCTGGTTGGCCCTGACAATCAGGGTTGTAGCATCCCGCCTCTTAATAACCCCCCCCCCCCCAGGGCAGTGCTACTGATTGAAGTGTCTTTATGTCTTTCCCAAAGGGGGGGGGGGATATTAACATGTTCTTATGCACCGTAGAATTGTAAAAGGGTTGATTTATAAATGTCATGCTCACACTGTGCCAGAACAACATAGGGGGAAGTGCTGCTTTTTCTTTCCCCCTACTTCTTTTGTATGTTTGTTACTCTGTTGTGAACTGCTATTTCCCGGGTGCCTTGATAGTCGAAGCAGACTGTGCTGTTGAGGCTAGAAAAGTGACCAGAGTAAGCCTGATTCCCCGTTTGGACTTCTCTGTTAACACCCACCCCTTGGCGCTCATATGACCTTATGCAGTTGCGAGCGCCGTAAAACCTTACTAAAACAAAAACAAAACAAACGTAAAACATAATACAGATTTGCCCACCCTCTCATTTCCTCCCATTCTGGCCAGTAGGTCAACGGCATTTACTTCGCCACCTACCTGTACACCAGCGAGATCACGTCACGTGACAAGAGCCGGACCCTGGCTTTGGCCATCCTGGAGTCTGTCAAAGGCGCCGTTACCGCCGCGGTCTATGTGGTCACTGGTCAGCTCATCCAGCACACCGGGTACAACTGGCCAGCCATTCTGTCGGCGGCCTGCACACTGCTCGCGTGAGTCGAAACAGGGACGTCTGACTAGCTCGTGATGTCATTAAAAATAGTGCGAGCTGTAGAATAGAATAAATTCGATGTACACATTTACACTCGAACATTTCACCCCCCCCTCTCTCTTTCTCTCTGAGTGTGTGTGCGTGTGTGTGTGTTGTGTGTGTGTGTGTGTATGTATGTGTGTGTGTGTGTGTGTGTGTGCGTGTGTGTGTATGTGTGTGTGTTTCTGTGTTTGTGCGTGCGCGTGTCAGTCTGTCTCCTTTTCTCTCTGACTTTCTGTTTCTTACTGTCTCTCTACACTCCCCCTTTCTGTCTGTCTGTCTGTCTGTCTGTCTGTCTGTCTGTCTGTCTGTCTGTCTGTCTGTCTGTCTGTCTGTCTGTCTGTCTCTCTCTCTCTCTCTCTCTCTCTGTATCTCTCTCCTTATCTCTCAACCCACACACTTGCCTTCTCCCCGCCCATCTCTCTCTCACATACACGCGCACGAGCGAGTGGAAACTTCTACATTGTATCTATCTATCTATCTATCTATCTATCTATCTATCTATCTATCTATCTATCTATCTGCGGGAGAGGGGTGTCTGTGTGTATGTGTGTGTGTGTGTGTGTCTATCTATCTATCTATCTATCTATCTATCTATCTATCTATCTATCTATCTGCGGGAGAGGGGTGTCTGTGTGTATGTGTGTGTGTGTGTGTGTGTGTGTGTGTGTGTGTGTGTGTGTGTGTGTGTGCATGTGTGTGTGTGAATGAGTGAGTGAGTGTGTGTGTGTGTGTGTGTGTGTGTGTGTGTGTGTGTGTCTGTGTGTGTGCATGTGTGTGTGTCAATGTATGTGTGTATGTATGTGTGTATGTATGTGTGTATGCATGTGTGTGCGCTCGTATGTGTATGAAGAGGCTAATAATGTACTATCTTCTCTCTATCTCTCTATCTCCCCCATAGTGTTGTTCTGGCCTTCGCCCTCCCCCCTCGACCCCCACGTCCCTCTCCCACAGCTGTGACCAAGTCCAGCCCCCTCTTGCCGACCCCTGTGGAGGGCTACTGGGACAAAATGAAGACGCCTTTCAAACAAGGTCGACAGAAAGGGCTGACTGCTCTAGTCACCCTTGCCTGCCTAGCCTTCTTCCTTGACCGTATCTCTGACTTCATGGTGGCTAAGGTAACAGTGTTTTATTTAATGTTTTTTGGTAAGTGTTTTACAGCGCTCGCAACTGCATAAGGTCATATTATGAGTGTACGGGACACATTAAACTTTTTCAGTAGGGTGGCGGCAGAAGCTTACTCTTATTGATTTTTTGACCATCAAGGGATCTTTAACGTGCGCAACTTGCACACGGGACCGCCGAGATTTTTCGCCCTTGTCCGAGACGGCTAGATGTAGATCTTTCCTACCAGAAGATCAGGGGTGTGGCTGAAAGACAGCAGTAAGAAGGAGCAAAAAATTAGCAGTAGAAAGGCTGCATAAAGAGGAGCCCAGAGGAGGGGGCAAGGAGGCGAGAGGTGGGGGCAGAAAGAGGAATCGAAAGCAGACGACAGAACATTACGAGAGAGCAGGAAAGGAGATGAAAGAAGACAATTTTTGAAAAGAAACGTTTTCGGTAGCTACCCGGATTCGAACCCGGGGCCTTTGAATGAGAGGCCAACACCTTTACCTCTCGGCCACGAGAGCCCCCGGAAACAGTGTACGCAAACGAGAGCCGATCCCAATTTTGTAGGATCTGTCGCAAGACAGTCCGAAAACTGATCAGATTTCCATTAGGCTCTCGACTAGATCTAGAATTTAGTTGTTGCCGGTCTGGCACAAACAATAGTTTTTTTCGGCACAAACAAAACATTTTCGTTTGTTTGTTTGTTTATTTGTTTGTCTTTTTATCGAAAAAAATGCTCTGAAACCTAGTGGCATTTCAAGATGGAATTTGGAAAATATAATTATGTTTGCCAAAATAAGTGCAATAGATAGCATTTAATTAAGTGCGGGCGAGACAAACAAACATATTTATCCTTGGGAGATAGGATAGACGGATCCACACTTACATTATGTCAGGGAAAATTGGCGAGAACTGTTGTCGCCATTATGAAAAACATGCATCACCTTAGTGTGAACCTCTCATTGCTAAGGAGGATGCCCAGAGAGTCACCGTTTTGGTCTATTCTCTTTCTTTCTTTCTTTCTTTTTTGCTTTGCTCGCGCAAGCTTCTGGTCTATACTGCTGGAATCCTTTACAGTTAATATTTCCAACACCAGTTCGGAGACGAATGGTTTGTTTGGCTTTTCCGTTCGTCTCTTTTCCTGGATATAGTTGTTTTCCAGAACAGTTCTTGTTGAGGATTCAACCCAGAGTCAATAGCAATGCAGTTCGACATCTGAGGCATGCCTTATCAAAACAAAAATGATATATCTAGATCTAAAATCGTGTTACGGTGTAAAACCCGACTGAAACAAATAGGCTACCTGCGGAATTCATCCACGAGCCTCAACTATCACATAGATTGCATTCTGTTGCAATATATTAGCTAAAAACCAATCAATCTTTCAATCAACCATTGGTTAATTTTTCATTCTTTTAATCAACGAGTTTATTTGCCAGTCAAACTATTAAATAAAACACGCAATAGTCAATAACTTGATTAAATTATAATTGATCACTCAAATAACCGGTACATAAGTCACTAGAGCTATCGATAAGTATCCCATCAAATATTTCCCTCTTTCGCCTCGTACAACCAGTCCTATAAATGTCTGGCAGGTTCGGACATTGTACGTGATGAACCAGCCCTTCTGCTGGAGCTCTAGTCAGATCGGCTGGTTCGACAGCGGCACACAGATGGCCTGTTACCTGTTCACAATGGTCAGTGTGTGTCTCTTCGCCCGCTACCTGTCCGGGGGAGTCTCCGTGGCCATACCAGCTGTGTTGAGCGCGGCAGGGGGCCACTGTGTCTACGCCTTCGCCACCGACGATATTGAGCTTTACGCAGGTCAGTTCGAAGTGAAGCCAAAAAACGAAAGCAAATGTTAACCCTTTCAATGCTGAGGCTTTTTCGTCCAAGTTTTTTTTGGTACTGATGTGATAAAATGTCCGCACAAGACAGCTATAAACAAAGTCTAAACTTCTCTTTTTTTACAAAGCCTTAATTTCCTGTAAAAAAAAAAAAGAGTGAGCAACTGCCCAAGCTGCAGCCCCACGTCCTGAAACTTCTAATATAAACCAGAAAAAACCCAAACAAAATGCCAGTGAAGTATGTTTAGAGAACAGCGAGTACACAGGTCTACACAGTAGCGAAGTGGTTACAAAATCACGGGACCCCATCGATTTGACATTAACATTTATCTACTTTTTACTTTTAAAAAACTGTCTCTTGTACTTCAAAGTGTCGAGGGAGGGGAAGAAAAAAAGAAGGGGGTGGGGGTTGCAATTGTCGGACGTGGGCCGGGTGTTTTGACTTTTTTGTTGTTGCTAGTTTGGAGGTTCTCTTTATCTCTGTCGACCAAACCTTTCCTTGGACTTCTTCAAATCCATCGAATCTCACATATGCACACAAACACGTACACACACACACACACACACACACACACACACACACGCACGCACGCACGCACACACATACACACACAAAACAACCCCAATAAAAATTTAATTACCCTCCCCACACACACATACATATATACCATTTTAAAATTCCATAACATGACAAGTTTTGGGTAGTTTTAGTAAGAGTTTCACAGCACTTGCAACACAATTATTTCATATGTGCCAAATAACACAACATAATTAAAACAAGGCAACAACAACAACAACAACAACAACAACAACAACAACAACACATACAACAACAACAACAACACATACAACATTGCTAAGCCAAAATCCTGTTGCAAAGCGAAATAAAAACAACCAAAACAATGCAAGAAAAAGATAAATAAAATCGCACACTATCTGACCATTTAACAATGACCAAAAAACATACAAAAACAAACAAAAACAAACAAACAAAAGACAACACGTATACAAAACCAAACCAAACTAAAACAAAACAAAAAACAAAAGCAAAAGCAAAAACCAAACCAAACCATAGGCAATACAAAAACAAACAAAACAAAATCAAAACAAGACATCAAGCAGGCAAACAAATAAATAACAAACAAACACATAAACAAACAAGCAAGGAAACAGCAAAGCAATAGTTAATAAAGATTGAAATAACGTTTAAAAGCCTTCAAAGAATAGAGCTAACAGTACTCGCACGGCTGCATCATGTTTTCCCTAACAAACCAATAGATAGATAAGTGCTAGTAAAGCACAAAATATTTTAGATGTTTCCGTCGTCAGTCTCTATTTTGCGTTTCTAGCACCAGTCCTTGGTATGTCGAGTAGCCTTTCATCCTGTCTACTACGCGGGGAAACTTCACGAGCTCTGGGACCACAAGCACAAGGTGGGTCGTCTACACAAGCAGCAGCAGCAGCAGCAGCACCAGCAGCACCAGC